ACACACACACACACACACACACACACACACACACACACACACACACACACACACACACACACACACACACACACACACACACACACACACACACACACACACACACACACCACACACACACACACACACACACACACACACACACACACACACACACACACACACACACCACACACACACACACACACACACACACACACACACACACACACACACACACACACACACACACACACACACACACACACACACACACACACACACACACACACACACACACACACACACACACACACACACACACACACACACACACACACACACACACACACACACACACACACACACACACACACACACACACACACACACACACACACACACACACACACACACACACACACACACACACACCACACACACACACACACACACACACACACACACACACAAGCATTGTGCGAAAAAAACAGTGGAGCATCTGGAGCGAAGGAACTTTGTAACACAGCATCAACATGGGTTCAGGGATGGCAGGTCCTGCCTCACAGGGTTACTTGAATTCTACGACCAGGCAACAAAAATAGGCAAGAAAGAGAAGGGTGGGCAGACTGCATATTTTTGGATTGTCAGAAAGCCTTTGATACAGTGCCACACAAGAGGCTAGTGCGAAAGTTGGAGATGCAGGCTGGAGTGAGAGGGAAGGTACTCCGGTGGATAGAGGAATACCTAAGCAACAGGAGACAACGAGTCTGTGTGAGGGGTGAAGTCTCAGATTGGCGAGACGTCACAAGTGGAGTCCCGCAGGGGTCAGTCCTCGGACCTATACTGTTTCTGGTATATGTAAATGATCTCCCAGAGGGTATAGATTCGTTCCTCTCAATGTTTGCCGACGATGCAAAAATTATGAGGAGGATTGAAACAGAGGATGATAGTAGGAGGCTACAAGATGACCTGGATAGACTGAGTGAATGGTCCAACAAATGGCTGTTGAAGTTCAACCCGAGTAAATGCAAAGTAATGAAACTAGGCAGTGGAAACAGGAGGCCAGGCACAGGATACAGAATAGGAGATGAAGTACTTAATGAAACAGACAGAGAGAAAGATCTAGGAGTTGATATCACACCAAACCTGTCTCCTGAAGCCCACATAAAGAGAATAACGTCTGCGGCATATGCGAGGCTGGCTAACATCAGAACGGCGTTCAGGAACCTGTGTAAGGAATCATTCAGAATCTTGTACACCACATATGTAAGACCAATCCTGGAGTATGCGGCCCCAGCATGGAGCCCGTACCTTGTCAAGCACAAGACGAAGCTGGAAAAAGTCCAAAGGTATGCTACTAGACTAGTCCCAGAACTAAGAGGCATGAGTTATGAGGAAAGGCTGCGGGAAATGCACCTCACGACACTGGAAGACAGAAGAGTAAGGGGGGACATGATCACAACCTACAAAATCCTCAGGGGAATCGACCGGGTAAACAAGGACGAACTTTTCAACACTGGTGGGACGCGAACAAGGGGACACAGGTGGAAGCTGAGTACCCAAATGAGCCACAGAGACGTTAGAAAGAACTTTTTCAGTGTCAGAGTAGTTAGCAAATGGAATGCATTAGGAAGTGATGTGGTGGAGGCTGACTCCATTCACAGTTTCAAATGTAGATATGATAGAGCCCAATAGGCTCAGGAATCTGTACACCAGTTGATTGACGGTTGAGAGGCGGGACCAAAGAGCCAGAGCTCAACCCCCGCAAGCACAATTAGGTGAGTACAATTAGGTGAGTACACACACACACACACACACACACACACACACACACACACACACACACACACACACACACACACACACACACACACACACACACACACACACACACACACACACACACACACACACACACACACACACACACACACACACACACACACACACACACACACACACACACACACACACACACACACACACACACACACACACACACACACACACACACACACACACACACACACACACACACACACACACACACACACACACACACACACACACACACACACACACACACACACACACACACACACACACACACACACACACACACACACACACACACACACACACACACACACACACACACACACACACACACACACACACACACACACACACACACACACACACACACACACACACACACACACACACACACACACACACACACACACACACACACACACACACACACACCACACACACGGGACCAACACACACACACACACACACACACACACAGGTGACACACACACAGACACACACACAGACACACACACACACACACACACACACACACACACACACACACACACACACACACACACACAGAGGCGGGACCAACACAGCCACAGCACACACCCCCACAACACACACACACACACACACACACACACACACACACACACACACACACACACACACACACACACACACACACACACACACACACACACACACACACACACAGACAGACAGTTGAGACGCGGGACCAAAGATCCAGAGCTCAACCCCCGCAAATACAACTAGGCGAGTACACACACACACACACTCCCTCACTCAACCCCCACCCCACCCACCCACCCTTCCTGTGATGGGACTCTAAAGGCCAGGTGACAGGTGTGGTGTACTGTAGTTTACACTGTTTTTTGTTTCATTTTTCACTTTTTACGGTGGGGAGCTGGAGTTTAGTTTTGGAGATATGAGTGTGTCCGAGGTGCGTTGGTGGGGGCGTGGCAGGCGTGAAACTTGGCGGACATATATTAATTAGTGTGGAGGTAGGTGTGGTATGTTTACCTTACCCTGTACACCTAGTTCTTTGCTGGGGTCGAGCTCTCGCTCTTTGGTCCCGCCTCTCAACTGTCAATCAACTGGTGTACAGGTTCCTGAGCCTACTGGGCTCTATCATATCTACACTTGAAACTGTGTATGGAGTCAGCCTCCACCACATCACTGCCTAATGCGTTCCATCTGTTAACTACTCTGACACTGAAAATGTTCTTTCTAACGTCCCAGTGGCTCATGTGGGTACTCAGTCTCCACCTGTGTCCCCTTGTTCGCGTCCCACCAGTGTTGAATAATCCTGCGTTTACCTTGTCTTGGTTCCAGGGTTCAATGTTCTCGCTGGCCGGATGGGTATCAGACGATAGGGGGGAGAAGGGGGGGGGGGGGAGGTATCGTAGGTCAGTGGGTATTGTGTGGGTGGGCGGAGGGTGTATTGTGTGGGTGGGGGGAGGGAGAATGGAGTTGATGTCATCTGCTGAACATGACATCCTTACGGTAACCTTACAATGATTTCGGGGCTCAACGTCCCGGCGGGCCGGTCCCCGACCAGACTTCCTGGTTGCCGGTCACAACAGCAGCCAAAACTCCACCGGCCAAAACAGGTGGTTTTAGCAACACGGTAAATAATGAAGCCTTGAGTAAAAGTAGAGCGGGAGCCAGGGACTGCACGACACAGCCGGGGAGGGAAGCCCAACCTCACAAATGGCGCCAGCAAAACCAGTTCTTGGCCACCCTGCACGGTACCTGGGGGGGCCCCCTTGTAGGCCTGCACGGTACCTGGGGGCCCACTTGTAGGCCTGCACGGTACCTGGGTCCCCTTGTAGGCCTGCACGGCACCTGGGAGGGCCCCCTTGTAGGCCTGCACGGTATCTGGGGGCCCACTTGTAGGCCTGCACGGTACCTGGGTCCCCTTGTAGGCCTGCACGGCACCTGGGGGGGCCCCCCCTTGTAGGCCTGCACGGTACCTGGGAGGGCCCCCCTTGTAGGCCTGCACGGTACCTGGGGGGGCCCCCTTGTAGGCCTGCACGGTACCTGGGAGGGCCCCCCTTGTAGGCCTGCACGGTACCTGGGGGCCCCCCTTGTAGGCCTGCACGGTACCTGGGAGGGCCCCCTTGTAGGCCTGCACGGTACCTGGGAGGGCCCCCCTTGTAGGCCTGCACGGTACCTGGGAGGGCCCCCCTTGTAGGCCTGCACGGTACCTGGGAGGGCCCCCCTTGTAGGCCTGCACGGTACCTGGGAGGGCCCCCCTTGTAGGCCTGCACGGTACCTGGGAGGGCCCCCCTTGTAGGCCTGCACGGTACCTGGGAGGGCCCCCTTGTAGGCCTGCACGGTACCTGGGAGGGCCCCCTTGTAGGCCTGCACGGTACCTGGGAGGGCCCCCTTGTAGGCCTGCACGGTACCTGGGAGGGCCCCCTTGTAGGCCTGCACGGTACCTGGGAGGGCCCCCTTGTAGGCCTGCACGGTACCTGGGGGCCCCCTTGTAGGCCTGCACACGGTACCTGGGAGGGCCCCCTTGTAGGCCTGCACGGTACCTGGGAGGGCCCCCTTGTAGGCCTGCTGGGAGGGCCCCCTTGTAGGCCTGCACGGTACCTGGGAGGGCCCCCTTGTAGGCCTGCACGGTACCTGGGAGGGCCCCCTTGTAGGCCTGCACGGTACCTGGGAGGGCCCCCTTGTAGGCCTGCACGGTACCTGGGAGGGCCCCCTTGTAGACTTGCACGGTACCTGATACACACGGTTTAGGTAGTGATGTGGTGGAGGCCGACTCCATACACAGTTTCAAGTGTAGATGTGATAGAACCCAATAGGCTCAGGAACCTGTACACCTGTTGATTGGCAGTTGAGAGGCGGGACCAAAGAGCCAGAGCTCAACCCCCGCAAGCACAAATAGATGAGTACACACACAAACATCCCAGTAGGCTCCATCTACCAGGCTACACAGAGTTCAGAGGCAGGACCCAAGAGCCGTCACTCAACCCCCCACAAAAGCAACTAGGTGAGGAACCCCCCCAACAATCCACTATTTATATATATTTTCACCGACATTGCATGCAACAAAGGGAACTTATTCATATGGACGTGTATGAGGAAGGAACATTGCCATGCAAGATGATTACATAGTAGCAGGAGACGTGACCTTGTCGTTCTCTCTTTCCCGCCAACAGCAGCTGGACTCCGGGTACGTGATCATGCCCGGGTGGGAGGGCCGGGCCGACTCCAGCACCGACGGCGACGACCTCGACGACTCGGGCCTCGACTACCTGGACAGTAGACCCGGAGTGCTGCCTGCGCCCTCGGGCATCGTCTTCGAGGGCGAGGCTGTCATTATCAACGGCAGGAGCAACCTACAGCGGCAACCCAAGACGAAGAAGGTGAGTGTGAGAGGGAGGAGACGGCCTTGACGGGGGTATTAAGGGGTTAAGGGCAGCAGCCACACATACCCAGCCACAGGTCTCCAAGTATCAGCTGCTGGTTATGGCTCCAGAGAACCGCTGCTTAAGGGACATTTATGCCCGTCACACCTTTTGGGGGGCTTAATATTTATGTCAGCCACAGACAACGGTGGATAACAGGAGAGAGAGTGAATGGGAGGGAGAGGGAGAGAGTGAATGAGAGAGAGAGGGAGAGAGTGAATGAGAGAGAGAGGGAGAGAGTGAATGAGAGAGAGAATGAGGAGGAGAGAGAGTAAGAATTAGAGAGAGTGAGTGAGTGAGAATTAGAGAGCGAGCGAGAGCGCGTGCGAGCCTCTCCAGCGTACAGGCTGCTATCATCATGGGTTATATATTACCGTTACACACCTGTGAGTCACACGTCAGGCTGCTCACAGGCTAGCTACAACAGCCTGGCTATAACAGCCTGGTTGACCAAACCACCAACTAGGAGGCCTGGCTGGAGATGGGCCGAGGGGAACAGTGGCCCCCCAGAACCATCCACAAGGTAGGTTATACTCGCTAAAGTATGCCCCGGGTGTACACGTCATGGTGAGGTGGGTGATGCGTGTGTCTGGGAGCACGGTCTCCACACATGGGGGATTCATTCTCACCCATTTGCCATAATAATTTCTCAGATACATCACACTATCGTGATTTCATTGTGCATTGCATTACTAACTCTTGACACATTCGAAAGCGGGACTATTGCTCTACTGGGCTACGGACCAACCAGGCTGTAGTGGATATGTGGGCTTCCGGGCTGCTCCCACCAACAGCCTTCCAGACCATACATGGTCTTTTATGTGTGATATCCAAACCCCTGTAAATATAATTGATATCAACACGAGCGTGGCAGATTTTGAAAGGGAAATTGACAACATGCCCATGCACTCGGCCCTGGGTCCAGACTCATGGAATTCAATATTTATAAAGAAATGCAAGGTGCCAGTAGCACAGGCACTCAGTATAGTGTGGAGGAAGAGCTTGGACACGGGGGAGATACCAGATGCGCTTAAAGCAGCAGACATAGCCCCTCTACACAAGGGTGGTAGCAAAGCATTGGCAAAGAACTACAGACCAGTTGCACTAACGTCCCACATAATAAGAGAGTTTGAGTGAGTGATCAGGAGTCAGGTCACTAGTTTCATGGAGATCAATGACCTTCACAACCCAGGCCAACATGGATTTAGAGCTGGAAGATCATGCCTCTCACAGCTACTTGACCACTACGACAAAGTCACTGAAGCCTTAGAAGAAAAACAGAATGCAGATGTTGTATACACAGACTTCGCAAAGGCATTCGATAAATGTGACCATGTAGTGATAGCACACAAAATGAGGTCAATGGGAATAACTGGTAAAGTAGGACGCTGGATACTCAGTTTTCTGTTGAATAGAACACACACAGGGTAATAGTCAACCATATTAAAGAAAGTCCAAATGCAGTTAAAAGCTCTGTACCTCAAGGTACGGTCCTTCCACCACTCCTTTTCCTTATTCTCATATCAGATATAGACAAAAATAAAAGTCATAACATAGTATTATCCTTTGCAGACGACACAAAAATCAGCATGAAAATTACCTCTACTGAAGACATTGAAAAACTTCAAGTCGAAAATTTTATTAATATAGACATGGCAGCAGAAAATATGATGTTTAACAGTGATAAAATCCAGGTACTCAGGTACGGTAAAAATGAAGATCTTAAACATAATACAGGTACAAAACAGTCAAATCTGCCCATAGTATGAGAGCAACATGTCAAGGATTTGGAATAATGATGTCTGACGATCTAACGTTTAGGAAGCATAACCAAGCAAATATTGCGACAGCCAGAAAAATGATCGGATGGATTACGAGAACTTTCAAATCCAGGGATCCCATCACAATGGTTGTACTCTTCAAGTCACTTGTGTTGTCCCGTCTTGAGTACTGCTCAGTACTCACTTCCCCCCTCAGAGCAGGAGAGATTGCTGAAATAGAGGGAATACAGAGAACATATACGGCACGCATAGACGAGATAAAACACCTAAATTATTGGGATCGTCTCAAAGTTCTCCAAATGTGCTCACTAGAAAGGAGACGAGAGAGAGATCAAATAATATAAACGTGGAAAATACTGGAGGGACAGGTCCCAAATCTGCACAGTAAGATAACAACGTACTTGAGTGAACGATATGAAAGAAAATGTAGAATAGAACCGGTGAAGAGCAGAGGTGCCATAGGCACAATCAGAGAACACTGTATAAACATCAGAGGTCCGCGGTTGTTCAACGTCCTCCCAGTTGGCATTAGAAATATTGCCGGAACAACCGTGGACATCTTCAAGAGAAAACTAGATTATTTTCTGCATGGAGTGCCGGACCAACCGGGCAGTGGTGAGTATGCGGGCCTGCGGGCCACACCAAGCAACAGCCTGGTGGACCAAACTCTCACAAGGTACACCAAGCTGTTGCTTGGTGTACCTTGTGACCTTGTACCTCCCCAAGTCTGGCCCCGGGCCGGGCTTGGGGAATAGAAGAACCCCCAGAACCCCATCAAGCAGGTACCAAGTCAAGCCTGGTGGCCCCCAGGCCGAGTTTGCAGAAGAACTCCCCAAGCCCACTCCAGGTGTACTCTAGGAAATGACCTGGGCTCAGATTCACGAAACAGTTACGCAAGCACTTACGAACCTGTACATCTTTTCTCAATCTTTGGCGGCTTTGTTTACAATTATTAAACAGTTAATGAGCTCCGAAGCCCCAGGAGGCTGTTTATAAGAATAACAACAGTTGATTTGGGAAGTTTTCATACTTGTAAACAGTTTAATGGCGAGGGCCTCGTAGCTCTTGGCGAGGGCCTCGTAGAAGATACTGTGTCTTATATTGTGTGAGGAGGGTGTAGGCTGGTGGCAGGTGATTGAGAGTAATTACCCAAGTCTAATTACCTAAGTGTAGTTACAGGAGGAGTGTGCGAGTGTGTGTACTCGCCTAATTGTACTCGCCTAATTGTGCTTGCGGGAGTTGAGCTCTGCCTCTTTGGTCCCGCCTTTCAACCGTCAATCAACAGGTATACAGGTTGTGTGTGTGTGTGTGTGTGTGTGTGTGTGTGTGTGTGTGTGTTTTACCTAGACCAAAGTATACGTAGAGTGGGTTCAGGAGTGGTGTGCGAGTGTGTGTACTCACCTAATTGTACTCGCCTAATTGTGCTTGCGGAAGTTGAGCTCTGCCTCTTTGGTCCCGCCTCTCAACCGTCAATCAACAGGTATACAGGTTGTGTGTGTGTGGAGGGGTTCTACTCCCCCCCCCCATGAGTTGACTTGTAATTCCTTGACCTAACAGGCTGTTGCTTGAAGTGGCTCGCAGGCCCTCATATCCACTACAATCTGGTTGATGTGAGACTCTGCAGTTTGTCTGTCGTTCTGTCATCTCTCCCCCCCTTCCCTTTTCTCTGTTTGGTTCATTCTCTCATGCCCAATCGTTGTGAAAAACGAACTAAATCATTAGTGATGCATATTGGTGCCACCTGCGGGCTCTCCATAGCCGGTGCTACTTGGAACTTTTTGATCCGGGTAGTGAATCTAGAATAACAACAATGGTGCCAGGGGGAGGGGGCGACGTTGGCACCTGTGGACAGTCATTCGAGGTAACAAGTACCGTGTGACAACAGGAATGTGTGACCATTGTCGTGCAGCTCTCAGTGTAAGGTAGGGTAGTGGGTAGGGTAGGTTAGGGTAGGGAAGGGTAGGGTAGAGGGGTACAGGGTTGTACCAGCCAGGTGGGCCAGCACTGAGGGGGGGGGAGGGAGGGTTGGACTCGTAAGAGGGAATGCAGGGTTAGATAGAACAGTGATAGCCGGTGATAACCAGGACGCCTGTGATTGGTGGAAGAGTCTGGGATGATAAACTCACATACACACACCCTTCCCTGCTTTCTAATACACCGGTAATTTGTCCAATATATATCGCGCCATTTGTACGTATGTTTAATACCCGTTAATATAACAATTAAAGCAACAAAATTTATAACTGAACTTAAGATATCAAAGATTTCGTAGATAATTATTGGTAAATATTGACAGGATCTTTGTTGTAATTGTATTAATTGCTGATAGGGTCTATTTTTGGTGCAGTTCTTGAACGACAGTTCTCCAGCTTTGAAAGAGCCTGTCACTACGCAACAGTACTCCACTCTAAGACAGCACTATAGCGTCTGGAGAATATCATTCGAACGGCATCTCCGGCCATTCGAACGGCATCTCCGGCCATTCGAACGGCATCTCCGGCCATTCGAACGGCATCTCCGGCCATTCGAACGGCATCTCCGGCCATTCGAACGGCATCTCCGGCCATTCGAACGGTTCTTGTTATCCAATATGTCATTTGTCCTGCAGTCAAGTTCAAGTGAGTTTATTGAGACGATAAGACTCGTCTCAGAAGGATTGGGTAACTTAGGCTATTTCTTGCTCTTGCTGTCATGACGGCTACTTTGTTGTGTTCGTTAAAGGTAAGGTCTTCCGGGGTAGCACGATAGCACAAGGGGGTAGCACGATAGCACAAGGGGATAGCACGATAGCACAAGGGGTAGCAAGATAGCACAATGATAGTGTGAAGGCGTATAGATGTAGGTGGTGAGCGTAGTGATAACGGGTTCTCCGTACAGTTGCCACATGGGTGCTGTAGTTAATGGTGGTAGAGGGTGTTGCTGGCCACACCCTCCAGGTGAGTGTGTGTGGGGGGGGGGGGGAATGAACCCCCCACTGATTGGTGGGGGGAGAAGGGGTGAAGCCCCCTCCCCCTTCAATGCACCTAGTCGACCCATCCTGTCCTCTTAAAAAGAATGTCGTTTTTGGCCGTTTGCCCGAATTTGGACGTAATTTGAAAATGAAAAAAATAAATAAATAAATATGGGATTTTTTTTTTCAACAACAGTAAGTTAAGGGTCCTCTGATAGGTTAGGTGGGCAGGAAATTCTCATAAAGTTTCAAAACGTTATGAAAAACGTTAA